TTCTCGATGAGACGAACACAGTGGTGGCCGAAATTTTCAAATCGGACCATAAACAAAGATTCTACAGGGTACGGGGACTAAAATTAACGTTTAAAGTGACCTTGACCTTGACCTATGACCTTGACCTCGGATTTTTTCGAATGTGCTACTGCTTCTCGATGAGACGAACACAGTGGTGGCCGAAATTTTCAAATCGGACCATAAACAAAGATTCTACAGGGTACGGGGACTAAAATTAACGTTTAAAGTGACCTTGACCTTGACCTATGACATTGACCTCGGATTTTTTCGAATGTGCTACTGCTTCTTGATGAGACGAACACAGTGGTGGCCGACATTTTCAAATCGGACCATAAACAAAGATTCTACAGGGTACGGGAACTAAAATTAACGTTTAAAGTGACCTTGACCTTGACCTATGACCTTGACCTCGGATTTTTTCGAATGTGCTACTGCTTCTCGATGAGACGAACACAGCGGTGGCCGAAATTTTCAAATCGGACCATAAACAAAGATTCTACAGGGTACGGGGTCTAAAATTAACGTTTAAAGTGACCTTGACCTTGACCTATGACCTTGACCTCGGATTTTTTCGAATGTGCTACTGCTTCTCGATGAGACGAACACAGTGGTGGCCGAAATTTTCAAATCGGACCATAAACAAAGATTCTACAGGGTACGGGGACTAAAATTAACGTTTAAAGTGACCTTGACCTTGACCTATGACCTTGACCTCGGATTTTTTCGAATGTGCTACTGCTTCTCGATGAGACGAACACAGTGGTGGCCGAAATTTTCAAATCGGACCATAAACAAAGATTCTGCAGGGTACGGGGACTAAAATTAACGTTTAAAGTGACCTTGACCTTGACCTATGACCTTGACCTCGGATTTTTTTCGAATGTGCTACTGCTTCTCGATGAGACGAACACAGTGGTGGCCGAAATTTTCAAATCGGACCATAAACAAAGATTCTACAGGGTACGGGGACTAAAATTAACGTTTAAAGTGACCTTGACCTTGACCTATGACCTTGAGCTCGGATTTTTTCGAATGTGCTACTGCTTCTCGATGAGACGAACACAGTGGTGGCCGAAATTTTCAAATCGGACCATAAACAAAGATTCTACAGGGTACGGGGACTAAAATTAACGTTTAAAGTGACCTTGACCTTGACCTATGACCTTGACCTCGGATTTTTTCAAATGTGCTACTGCTTCTCGATGAGGCAAACACAGTGGTGGCCGAAATTTTCCGATAGCTCCAAAAATGAAGATTTTATAGGGTACGGCGATTTTTAAAGTGACCTTGACCTTGACCTATGACCTTGACCTCGGATTTTTTTGGATGTGCTACTGCTTCTCGATGAGACGAACATACTGGTGGTCGAATTTTTCAAATCGGACCATAAACAAAGATTCTACAGGGTACGCAGTATTTTGACCTCTCAAGGTCAAACGGTTTGACCTAGGAAAAAAAGGTCACCATTTTCGAACTCAGCGTGGCATGGGCTATCTGTATGCCAATTTTGAGCGAAATCATTACTCGAATTTGAATCCGAATACGAATACGACGCTAACTTTATGGACATCAGTCATGTCACTTAAGGTCAACTAGGGTCAAACTACGTTTTTGCAGATAACGCGACAGACAATGAAGCTAGAGCTTCAAATATGGTGTCGTTGTGTTCTTCTTCATCAGCCGAGTTGAATGATATGCAATATGATGCATTAAGGTAAAAAGAAAAATAAATTTTAAGAAATTTTGAAATACACATTTTTTGTCAATTTTGCATCATGATTTTCATTGACCTGTACTGTATATGTGGTAGACGCTAGCTAAAATACCAGTAGTGACATAAACGCTAAGATGTCCAGAGCTTATCAGTACCTTAATATTTCACTTTCCGTTAATATTTGGAAGACACATAATGGTTTCATCAACTCGTTGTAAAGCGCTGGAGAGGTGGCCGGCGTTACCCCTATGCCGGGCTTACCCCAGAAAAATCAACACTTTTTTAAAACTCGATTTTCTCAACCTTATACTTATTCCACGAAACCGAATTTTTGGGAAAACACGGCCAATGAACTTAGCTAGCTAACAGGATATCAACATTTTATACAGCACGTATGGTATGTAATAAAAATGAAAAAGAGCTTACTATGCCGGGCTTCCCCCGGCTTCCCCTACGTTTACGTGCCTAATTAATAGCTAATTTGCTGCATTGTTTAATTTGCAGCAGAACGTTTGTTGATCCTTTTCTCCTGAGAGCCTAAGCATAACATATTTAATATATTTCATTTTCCTTGAAATATTTTACCGAATATTATTAAGTGGTTTTATTTCAAATAAAATAATAACTAAAACGAAATTGGTGTAGTATAACCGATTTATTTTATGATGATCTACCATACTACATAATAATCAATGACGTCATCTTACCAAAAATCAAAAACGTAGAATAAGGATTTATAAAAGCTTAGCATACTTATTGGCAAAACGTTTTCATGCAGTCGCACCGTGCCGTTTTCGGACGCCGGTGAAAACAGGGCGCCGGAGGGCATATTAGTCACGTGACATTTGGAAGTGCTCCCCCTTCGTGGGTCTTCTACATGCTAAACGTCACGTGTAAATTTCACCAACCTTGGTCAAATCGCCCAAGGCGCCCTGTTTTCACCGTCGTCCCCGTTTTCGCGTTTTAATTTTCCTCGTTCCCACTTCCTTTGTCCTTAACTTATACTGTGGTTCCAGAGTTCCTGTCCTCTCCATTTCCTTTTAAATATATTTTTTAACCCTCATCCCTATCCCCCAGTCCTAACAGTTTCAAATTGTATTGCAATAAAATTCAAACACAAATGTTTTGAATTCTTCACATAGGTACCTAACATTGACATGCCACGTCCAGAGTCGTGGACCGCTAAATACTTCAAATCTCTTCCTTCCCAATCTGACAACATCCCACGTCTCAAATGCACATTGTGTGGAAAGATTTTTCAGGCTGCCCGTCAGTCTCTGTCTAACCAAAACCGTCACATACAGGTAAGATATTTATTTCTATTTCCCTATGGTTAATATAATATGTTATTGATGCATATAATCCATTGAAATAGACATGGTGTAGGGTAAATGGCCAAATCACGAACACTGCCAAAATCCGAGCAGCCAACTTTCAACTGCAATATCTGATATTTAGTGTAAATGGAGTTGGAATATGGCCAAAATTAAATTGACAACTTTTAGGTGAAAGGTGGTGATTTGGGTTAAGGGGCAAGTCAACTACTGGGTTATTTTGCACCCATTAAATGAAACTTCTGCTCCAATTCTACCCATTGAACCTCAATATCATGATCCACCTGTCCATCACTAGGTATCCTTCCTTATTACATAGAAACTTTGAATGGCATGACAATTTATAATTTTAAATGACAATATTTTTATGTTTCTTCTGTAGGTAGGTAGGTAGGTAGGTAGGTAGGTACACCAGACTGCTATGGACACTTTTCCAAGTTGGTGGGCAAAAAACCTAATGTATGTCTTGGTTTGAGTCGTTTGATTGAGTTGATTGATTCCTTTCATTGTCGCGTTTGAGTCGATTGAATCAATTCCCGAAAACTGCTCTGACTTGATTGATTTGATTGGTTTCCCAAATTTGTCGTGATTGAATTGATTGCTATTGACTGAGTCGTATACAACCCTGCCTCCCACCTTCAAAAAAGTTAATGAATTGGTGTGAAAGTGATGTCGCTCGGTTCAGAAAGAGCAAAAACGAATTTCTACCAAATTTCACCGAAAAATATTCACCGGTTTTCAAGATATTAGACTTTTACTTTTGTTTACTTTTTTGGGACCTCCGCTGTTCCTAGCGACTTTATTTTGGAAGTGCGGCGTTTGCGGCAGATGTTGCGCGCAAATAGCATATACCACCACTGCTTCACAAAGATGTTAGTATAAGGTTTTAAAATCGTTAGATCTCCGCTGACGTCACAAATTCTAAGGGGGTATACTAATGCATTAGCCCCTTAGAATCCGAAAACTGCAAGTTTGAAATTCCATATCTCCGAATTAAAGCATTTTTTCGATGTTGTGAGTGCCCAAACCGGTATTTGCAGGCCATGGCCACCAATTTGGCTGTCTCAACTCAAAACTAATGTTAAGGTGGGATGGTCACTTTAAGGGCAAAGTAACATATCTTATTTTTCATCCTATTCATTACAACAGCTATCAGATTTCGTGTTTTCTGGGGAAGTTGCAAACATCTTTCACTTTATTATATTTTCAAATATATCTTCACTCTCCAGTTGAAACTCACAACATCTTACCGGATCTATCAGCCTGTTCTGCTATAAAACAGCCTTCCCCTTCCCTACCCGGATGCAGCTCCGGCCATTTGCAGACGCATCAGTCGCCAAGCCGCCCGAGCTATTAAACACACTAAGCCCGGCTTAAGCCGCGCGTAGAGTGTTTCGCGTTCTGCTTGGATGGATTTCGAGAACCGCACTTGGTACTCGGAGCCACGTCTATGCCTTTCGCGCAATTTATCCTGTTGTCTGACCATTCAGTATTCACAATGACCCTGAATGTCTCGGTGGTCCTGGAGATCTCTGTGACTCTGGACAGTTATGCATCCTGGAAATCCCTGCGGTCATGGACTTCCCCTGCATCCTTCTGGTTTTTCGCATCTCGATATCTCTATGACACTCCTCGATCCTGCACATCTCGGTTTCGAGTTTCGACACCCCGGCTTCGTTTTTTAGTTTTGACCCCGGTGCGTTCCGGAATATTGAAGTCTTCATATTTCTCACGCATTTTAGAGCCCTGACTGTGGTATTGGGTATCGTAGTCCACGTTTTAGTGACTTGAGTAAGACGCGTATGCCACTGCATGCGTTGCTGAGTTCATTTTAGTTTTTGATGCATCATTTACATCAAAGACCTTACACAAAGCGTTGTTGATGTTACATTGAACACGTCTTGTACCGACAGATATTTCTTTCTCGGCAGGTTTTCATCATGCTCATTTCCTGTCTTCACGAGTTCCCGAGTCATGGTAAGTGAAAACAATGATAATGCATGCAATAATTAGTGAAACTTGCAACACAGTTAGTAAGCGATATATGCTTTTCAAGTGTGCATAGGTATATTTTAATTCATGGTCACCGTATCAGTAGCTATCTTGTCATGGGTGTTCCCGAGAAACTTAGCGTCTTATATCGATTTGCATGTGCGGCTTTCGCACTGTCTTATAGTTAGAAAGTCCTGGTTAGTGCCACCTACAGCCGGTTGAATCCGCGGCACACAATCTTTAGAGAAAGCAGACCTCACCTTTCCATTGCCCCGTCCCCGGTCGGTGAGGAGACGCGCGGGGTAGGCTGAGGAAGCCTCAAAGAGTCCAACCAGTGTCCATGCGCTCAGCACTGTGCTCCGGCGCTCCGGCAGTGAACATCCTCGGTCAGTTTGACCTCAGGCCCCTCTGAATCCGCCCATAAAACGGGATTAGCCGCCGGGATCGGTCTGTCGTCTGCCAGCCTGCAGTGGGCGCCGCGCTGGGGGCTCCGAGAGAGCTGCGGCAGCTGGTGACCTCGACTGGTGTGACCTGTGACCTGTGACCTGTGACCCTGGTCAAGTCAGAGGAATGTCCTGTGTTCTGACTGAGTGGACTAGTTACCCACACAACACGCTAATCATTGCAGAGATTTATCATGTTTGAGGCCTGGATAATGGAGATACTATGTTTTTATTATTTTGTTGTTTTTTATGCCTGTTTGCTGGCTTGGTAGTAGAGAAGCAAATGATATTCGTTATCTGATAGTTTTGTGTTGCTACCTTTAAAGTCTAAATGTTTTGTTTTCTCTGTTAAAAGCATGTCGCCGCTTCAGTTATTTCAGTTTGCCCATTCTCCTGGGTGTCGTTTTAGTTGTTTAAGTTTGCTCATTCTTCTTGGTGTCGTTTTATTTGTTTCAGTTTGCTCATTCTGCTTGGTACCATCATGGGGACGCTCACCTATCATTTCAGACACCTGTGAGTATGAAGCGCAGCTTTATTCATCCGTATAAAATCATGTATGCTTAAAAGAAAAAGTATTGCATGCCTATTGCCTACCTATGTGCACTTGTATGATTTGCTGAGCATTGTAGACTTCCCTTTTATTTTTCTTGATTGTTGATTTGCATTTTTATCTATTACCTATTTTTTATTACTTTTTTATTGCTTATTTATGATTTGCTATTTATTATTTATATCTATTCATAAGTTATCTATAATTCATTTGTATTATATTACATAAAAATATAACAATATTATAACATAATATTCTGCAAGGATTATTTCAGCGGTAAGAGTAAGTACGGTGCTGGGAAGTGCACAGCCGCACACTCGGTCACCGTGCACTCATGCGTTCAGCTCACTGTTCACCCGCCCTGCCGGCTGTCTATGTACTAACTGTTCACCTGTGCTGTCTGCTGCCATATCCTCACTGCTCAGTGCTCACCTGCTGCTGTCGGCTGCCTACGCTGTCACTGTTCACCCGCTTATGTCGCGCACCGTTTTCACAACTTTAAACTCGTACACACTCTTTTACAGCGGTTGTTTCTCATTGAAATTACATTTTTCTTCATTTATAGCTATTGCCGAAACTATCGGATAAAGGTATTCCTTGTGGTTAACAATTAAAACGGAAGCATCTCTTGGAAAGAAAATCGCATGCCTAAGTGTTGTGATTGAATGATAATTTGGTAAGCAAACGCATTTAATTGCGATCATTGCGATAAGGTCGCAAGTGTGAAAACGTCTGCTGACAGATTCTGACAGCAGCATCAGCTCAGACTCAGGGTTTAAACTATTTTGGCATAAGTTTACTGGATTTAAATCACTGATTTTTTGTTGCAATTTGCAGGCTCGTTATAGCAAAAAATGTTCATCTGTAAACTTGTTGGTTACAAAAAATAAGCATTTCAGTAGCCAATGTGATGTGACCGGTGAGTAACCGTGTGTGACCCGTGGCGTGGCCTCGTGTGACCCCGTGTGACCTGTGGTGTGTCACGTGCGCGGCAGGCCCGAATCAGACCCAACTGACAGGGCCTGGGGAAAGGCCTTCTCACCATCGTAAGTGCATTTGCACGAATTCCTTCTCTTACCTTGCTGTTATTTCGGAAGGCTCACATCGGCATTTTTAGATCTCGTGGACGATGTACTGGACACGGTCATACCGTAGATCTAATAGTTTTGTCTTGAATAACCCATAACACGGTCTCGGTTGCGGAGGCGGAGAAGAGGTCTGGTAGTCCGGTCTCAGTAATCCATTGACCTGTCTGGTTAGATTAATGAGATAGATTTGGAACGACGAGGCCGGCCTGTGTTTGAAAAAGCGTGAAAGGCGCCATGGTCTGATGTGGGACGGGGTGGCTATGCGGCTCGTCTTCCTTAGTACGTGACATCTGACCACTTCGGTGCATCCTTTTTGGTGAATGCGAGCATCGAATGTCCAGTCAAGGTGATGTGCATTGTGCATGCTTCCGAGTTGGAGTCGGTGAGGTTTGTAGCCCGCGGAAAGTTCATGCGTCTGATGAGGTGTGGTTTGTTGTAGAAGCTGCACGTATAATGGTTTGCAAATGCATGTACTGGACCAAAAACTGTGTATGTGGTTCGTAAATGTTGCAGGTATTTGTAGACAGTCTTCTTTGATAATAATACAGACACTTGGATTACGGACGATTTTGTCCATAACTCAAAAACGAACATTTCGGTGATGTGCAATTGGAGGCATTTTTCTAGAACCTTGATAAATGAATATGAATTTTTGCAGTTACACACAACGGCTCGGATACGATTGATTTCATATGCATTGCATTCCTTCAGATGATGTCGCAGTCGAGCATAGTGACTTTGCGCATATCAATGAAACATTTTTATTGCATATTTTGCACGTCCGCAATAAGCACATAGGTATAGTTTTTCTACTGATGTCTTCAGACCATGTTAACATTCTAAAAACTGATCCATTTCATGTTCCAAAATCAGTATTTCTGTGTTTCACCCCGTGTGAGCCCTGGCTGTTCCCTCCGGCGCCATTCTGACGGCGCTGATTCGCCCGGCGCGCCGACAGAACGCACGTGGAGAAGTTTCCCGACATCCGCCTGCCGTCGGGGGGACCGATGATCGGCGCCTGTCAGACGGAGCGCAGCGCCTTCCTGCCCAACTTCGACTCGCACCTCTTCTTCCTGGTGCTGCTGCCGCCGTGAGTATCAACATCTCCATGGCATAAACATAAAGCATAAAATTTGCTTAAATTAAAAAAGTAGAGAGATCACCGTTTGGAGATGTTATTGCCCTTTATTAGCACTCCTCTCTCCACAGTTCTAAATAAGCAGTTAACTGCCTGTCATGGTCGTCGATCGAATAAATACACCGTCGACGCTGATTATTTTAGCTTTATAAAAAAATTGGCAGTGACATTTACATACAGGGAGGATTTATTTAATGTCCGTTCAACGTTAGATAACGTTCAAATCCGATATGTGGTGTTCACACAAGTAAATAAAGACCTGTTTCAAAGCTACTCGTAGGAGCGTGTTTGTTCTGCGATCTGCTACTCCTGCTCCTAAAAAAACGCCGCTCTGTTTTCCATGCCGGAGTCCGACAGGTCACGTGCCGCACCTCCCGCCCACTCACACCCTGCCCCCCCCCCCTCCCCCAACACCCACACCCGTCCCACGCACGGACGGTGCTCTCCCAGCTGTCGTGTCGTCTGGTGAGCGTCATATCTCACCGGCTCTCACACGGTGAGCTGGCCGACACCGGCGCTCTCTCACATCGCTCATTGCGGCACGGACAGCGGCGTCTCCGGTTACCTGTCTCCCGCGCTGAGGCGGTGTCTCTCGTTACACCGGCGATGGGAGCCGGTGATGACCCCCCTCGCCCCCCCCCCCCCCGCAGGATCATTCTGGAGGCGGCGTACTCCCTGCACGACCGCACGTTCGCTGACAACCTCGGCACGGTCCTACTGTACGCAGTGGTGGTGAGTTGTGGGCGAGACCGATCGCGGGGTCGGGGCTAGGGTGACTCGTGAGCGGAACGGATTGTGAGGGTGGGTGTTCAAAGGGCTGGTGGGGTCCGTGGGTTCACAGCAGGGTCTATGGGGACGGCACGGACCACTTGAAGTCTCCAGGGTCGGTGCTGGGCCGCTCGAAGTCTGTGAGACCTCGGCGTCACGGAGGTCGCGGAGCCTTTGGTCCCAAATCCCCCGTCGTGGTGCCATTGTGGAATATAACGGACCTGCCGGCTGCCGCTTGAGCCAAGCATATGCAATTGGCGTGTCAATGCAAGTGGGCCTGTATGTCAGGGGTAGCTGCGTCCACCCTTGCGATGAAGAAATGTCTCGGAGACCCGTTACCTGCTGCGCTCAATGTCACAGTCCAGCAGGCTTGGCCATCCGTTGGTCACCTGAGTCGCACACGAGGCCGCTTATGGCGCCGTGCCTCTCCTCTGCGGAGAAGTCGGTCCATGAGCTAGCTGGCGGTGCGCCGCCGGCTCCGCTCACTGTGCACACCTGCGCACCATGCCGTGCACAGTACACACAGCTCAGTATTTATGGCTGTGTCCCAGCCGGTGTCTGCGGGGAGAGGGGTGGGGGCGGGAGGAGAGAGCTGGGGAGGGTGGCCAGCGGCCCTCTCTAAAGAGACGTCGACGGATTAGCATGGCTGATGCCGCCCTAATGGTAGGGTTACGTCAGTGCCTGGGTGACTCGGAACGAACGTACACGACAGGGACAGGCCCCGGCATTAGGCACACGGCGCGGTTGTTTGTTGAACCTCTGTGCAACGTGCTGGCATGCAGCGACATCCGAGCAAAGAGCTTAAAAGCATGGGAGTGGGAAACGGTGACTGGGAGCGATAGCGATAGCAGATATATCAGTGTCAAACGTTAAAACAGGCTTTCTCTTGTCTCTGATAACAATATAAGTTACCAAGAAGGTGGTTTAGCTTGATCACCAACCGTATTCAAAGTTATAAAACAAACGCCGGCTATACAGTTAACGATGTTCTTCACGCTCCTCACGAAATAGAAGAGCAAGCTAATCACTTTTCTAGCCACAAATGCTGCGATGACTTAGCGCACGATTCCCGTTCCCTCGACCCCCCCCCCCCCCCGCACGTGCAGCCCCCCCCCCCACTCGCCGACGCGCCGGGTCGCTGCTGATAGCACGTCCGGTATGACCCGCTACTGTCTCTGTGGGCTGACCTTGACGCGTGCAGGCTGCGACTGACGCAGATAGGAAATGTGCCCACGCACGGATGGGAACAGTTTTTTTCACTGAGGGTGGGCCGACTTATTGCCGGCTGATCAGAGGTGCTTAGGTTGTTTCAGCAATCGGCATTCTTAATTGAATAAGAAATACTGAGGTGTGTATGTATACCGCGTGAAGGATCGTTTCCTCACACAATTGCGTCCATAGGCGCTGTCGTTTGGTGAGACTGCAGCTTGTGGGTGCAGCTGGTGGGTTTAAAAGGGTGCAGCGAGGGCACCACAGGGGTGCAGTTGCCCCCGTGCCGTTCCCGTTCGTCACGCTGTCTCCGCTCCGCCGCCAGGGCACGCTGTTCAACATGTTCACGATCGGACCGCTGCTCTACCTGCTGGCTAAGGTGGGCGCCATGGGCTCCAGCATGGTGCCGGCGCTGGCCGGCTACGACATCTCCAACATCAGGTGAGTCCGAGTACATCTTCAGACTTCAATATCAGGTGAGCCGCAAACAACACCGATCTGCACGCCTCCCGCCTGTATACGAGCGGCAGGTGGTCACGTGACCGCGGCCGCCTGCCGTTCGCGGCGCTGCTGTGCCGCAGGGCACGCGGGCCCAACGGGTGGCCTATACAGACAAGGAAGACTGCGATGCAGCAGTGATGCGTAACACCGATGGCGCTCAGTGCAGTGAATAAACACGATACTGTCATAAACAAAGCAATGTGGAGTGTGGACTGTGGTTGAGTTATTCTGCTACGAAGTGAAATATATGCCTACATATAGTTAGCATCACATGTGTTTGAAAATTCGCAAGCGGCAGTGCACAGCAGATGAACTACAACAAAAACGCAGTCTACCTACTTGTTATATTTGAACGGTCAAATGACTCTGGTGAACGCCATGCGGCATCGACATTAACGTTAACATTCGCCTTTGTCGGCAGCTGTTTAAAACACTTATTATAATCAAAAGAGTTGCTCACGCCTTTTAAAAAGCATCCCACGTAAGGCAACACTCCGCGAGCTGAAACCGATTTTTTCGTCTGCCTCCGACTTTAACTTGAAGCGCAGATAGAGTGTACATTTCACTTCGGCCGATGGGGCGCGTCTGTCGGCTGAAAAAAAAAACAGTTTCAAAGTGCGACTACAGCGGATGACACCCAATACCAATAGAATTCTGACCGATGCTTTACCCGCCCGCCTGCCGCCAGTTTCGTGCAGATGTTGACCTTTTCGTCGCTGATCGTGGCCGTGGACCCGGTGGCCGTGCTGGCCATCTTCCAGGAGGTCGGCGTCAACAAGGACCTCTACTTCCTCGTCTTCGGAGAGAGTCTCCTCAACGGTCAGTTTTGTCGTGGGATGGAGACAACCTGTTGAACGGTCGATTCCCCACGATCGTTGTGCGTTGGCTGCAGCTATATAGCACAATTGAAAGGCGTTATAAGCAGCAGCACTCTTTGCTAATATCAAGAAGTTACCCTACCCAAATGAGCTGCTTTATTTATGTTGCCATAATAATCGAAACGTTTTGAAGCCGATTATGCACTGGCGGTCCCGTCACTTCTCCGACCATCGGCCATCCCCATAAAATTTATCCGTTGACCACGCCTGCAGATGCCGTGACGGTGGTGCTGTATAACGCCATGGTGGCCCTGGCCGGCCAAGAGACGGACAGCGTCAGCTACGACCAGCTGCTGCTGGCCGTGGCCGCCTTCTTCTGCGTCTCCCTGGGCGGCCTGGCCATCGGCATCGTGTTCGGCGTCATCACTGCACTCATCACCAAGCACACGTCAGAGCTGCCCGGTGAGCCGCGCCGAGACGAGATCGGGCTGAACAGAGGTGGTGCTGAATGAGGGTCGAACTGGTTTGAGTCTCTCATCTCTGACAGGTATCAACGAACGATGGAAAATGTAGTCTGGAGGATCTTCAATTTTTAATGCTATAGTGAAGTAAACCTTGTTTATTGGTCACATATTGTTAACGTTTATTTATCAGTGATTGTCGATTTTATTGTGCATCGAGTATTCGGTGCGCTTAACGATATAGGCCTGACGTCACGATCTTACATCATCGGCCGGAGTCTGTTGATGTATCTCGCCGTCTGACGCGTGTCTCCCTCCGCAGTGGTGGAGCCGCTGTCGATCCTGGCCTTGTCGTACCTGGCCTATCTGTCGGCCGAGCTGGTTCACTTTTCGGGCATCATCGCCACCGTCGGCTGTGGCATCGTGCAGGCTCACTACGCCACCAAAAACATCTCCAAAAACTCCTACATCACCATCAAATACTTCGTCAGCATGGCCAGGTTAGCATTGACCGTCTTACTGTTTATAGCGCGTTCATAGCGTGTTTCTGTTAAAAAATGCAAATAAGTAATCTAAATGCTATATGTAGATTTCATTCCAACACATACGCTGTAAAATAACGACCGTCACTGAACGTCTTTTATGCGTTCTTTTATGCCCGATGTACCACATAGCTTGCGTCAGCTAAGACCAAGGAAGAGGCTGAAGCCTGCTGCGAATAGGACATTAGATGACGTTGCATGCACCTCTCTGACATGGTGTTGTACTTCTTCAGCTCCACCAGCGACACCATCATCTTCATGTTCCTGGGAATGGTGCTTATCAGCGACGACCACCGCTGGCACACGGGCTTCTGCCTTTGGACTCTGCTGCTCTGCCTCGTCTTCCGGTTTATAGGCGAGTGAAATCATGATAGTCACTGTCGCGAGTCCCGGTAGTCACTGTTCTGAGTCCTGATAGTCAATCTCCCGAGCCACAGTAGACACTCAAGCTCACCAGTCCCGGAATTTGCTCGCCTAAAGATTTATAGGCGAGTTGCTGTAGTCACTGAGTGGATTCAGTTAGATTGCTAAGCTTATAGCGACTTTAACGCGTCCAAAACCACATCCCAACATAAATCACCCAACCTCTGCTGAGAAAGGCAGGTAGTTCATTATCCCCGCACTTTGTAGCTGTCTGGGGCTGAACGAGCTGCTTTTGTGTTTTGAGTTGATGAACCGTGTCAGGTTACTATACAAAGCCTTTCTCTTCGTTGGCACTCGACAGCTCCCACTGTTTGTGAACTGACTGATGATGGGTGGGGTTGGCTCGTACCGAATGGCTGTGAATGCTCTTGAGGAGCGATAGTGATTAGTTATCCAGAATATAGTGTCAGTGGCTGTAGGCAATTAAAAGCATTGTGATCTCTGACTCATTAGCTCTTACCATGCGCTGAATTCACCCGATAATAGCACATGCCGATAATTTATTGACCGATAACCCGTACCGTTGGCAATGTCTTTGAGGCGTTGTGAAGTCATCCATCATCCATAATGTAATTAATGGCTTCATGGCTCTATGCCAACCCTTGCCGAAGGTTTGACCCGAATTTTATTCCATCTCCCCTGGAGTGTAGGTATCGCAGCGTCGATCTGAAATCGTATCACCTCTGACCTGTGTGTGTGTGACTTCTGCTTCCAGGTGTTTACCTACTGACCTGGTTCGCCAACCGTAACCGAATGAACCGTATCGGTCGCAAGGAGCAGTTCATCATGGCGTATGGCGGTCTGCGCGGCGCCGTCGGCTTCTCGCTGGTGGTGATGCTTGGGGATGTAATCGACAAGGAGACGGCACAGGTGTTCGTCACGTGCACACTGTTCATTGTGCTGTTCACCGTCTTCGTTCAGGTGAGCGGCCGTGCGACTCAGCGCGGGAAAATCGCGAGCCCTTCGGTAAGTAAGTGCGAGAAAATCGGTAGTGATGGTAGTGATTGACTCTTATCGGTCCACGGTCCTCGGTCTTCGGTCCAACTATCAAAAAACGTGAGGGAATAAAACAATCGTCTTTTTTAAGTCCACATCCGAAATCAAGTAAATGATACCGATAAGATGTGTATTGTGTAGGTATTGTTCAGTGTTTATGTTTTGAAAATGCACTCGTGAGTCGTGACAGCACGGGCTACGTTTACATATTAAAAAACTTTTCCGCAATGTATGCTCAATCTTCTGTTTTTTTTTTTCTGTACTGAGCTGGGAACGATTCGATGACTAAGGTTGCCTCACAGCCAAATGTTCGTTTTCTCACAGGGCTCCACAGTGAAGGTGTTGGTAAACTTCTTCCGAATCAAGCTGGACGATGACGAGGAGAAGACACTGGTGGAGGAGATTGTGACGTCATCGCTCGATCACATCTCCGAGGGAGTGGAGGAAATTGTCGGCTACGGAGGTCTCAACCGGCTGAAGGTAAGAAACCATTAACCAATGCTTTCTTTCAGGGTTAAAGGTCGTTTATAGTCAGCCGAGGGATGAAAAGGGCTTTCAGTCAGTGAGTGCATGTATGTATGTTTCGCGGTGAGTCACGAACGCATGAGGTGTCATATTTTATAAGAAACTAGGCGTTGAAACTGCTTAGTGCGAGACACGCCTTGCTGTCACCCAGTTAATGCTCTCGGAGCTGTGAGCCACCTGGGATGACAACTCCTCCCGTGCCGTCCCTGCAGGAGCGTCTGGAGACTCTGGACGAGAAGTACCTGACGCCGTGGCTGGTGCACACCCCGCCCATGTCCAACCTGGCGCGTCTGTACGACAAGCTGGTGCTCGACGAGCACTACGCCAACCTGTACGGACCGGCCGCCGTCCTGGAGACGCAGAAGGACTTCGACACCGGCTCCATTACGTCGTCACTGCCCTCGTATCCCGCCTACAAGGACAAAGACGTGAGTATCCGACGCACAACACGTGTATAGCGACAGTTATTAGAAACAACTACACAGTACACCGTGCTGACGACGAAAGGTTCGGGAAAGGGCGGTGAAATGTTAACGTAAATTGAGTAGTAATAGACAAATATATATTGAGACGGGTTACACAGCACATTGGATTACACAACCACCCAATGTGCTGTGTAACCCGTCTCAATATATGTCAACGTAAATGTAAGTGAAATCATTTGCAGTTTACACAGCTCAAATTTGGTGAGGCCCATCACGCATTTTGGGATACCCTGATGCCCACGTCTCAGCCCATGTGCTCTGTTGGACCGCATCTCCTAATCTGTTCCCTGTTCGGCAGCGTAAGAGCTCGCTGGCAGCCGACGACGGTCACCTGGATCTGGAGCCGGGCTGGATGCGGCGCAAGTCCATCCTGAACTCGCCGAATGGCGACATCAAGCGCCGTCTCTCGTCAGCCGTCAACCTGCCGCTGCCGGAGGACGAGCTGGTGAGAACTTCGCTGAATACGGTCCCAACACCGTCGAAAGGAGTCACCAACTGTCAGCCAGTGTTTTTTGTGTGGATTAACAATGGTTGCAGAGGTAGGCTACCCAGTAGCCACCTCACGAGTAATTCTGTTAGCGCCGCAGTTTTAGTCTAAGAAATGCAACAATTTAACGACGTCCACCTTCATCAAGCAGTGCCAACGTATGTCCGCTGTCCGTTCTACACGTATGTAGCTCCCCACCTGACACCCCGGTCCGCGGCCCGCAGGCGTGGCTCCGCCGGATCTCCGCGACCACCCCGGAGCTGCCCATGACGCGGCCCTCGCTGAGCGACGCGCGTCGACCGTCCATCATGGGCGACGGTCGGCGTCCGTCTCTGATCCCGCCCGACGGACTGGGCCTCAGCATGGGCCGGCGCTCGTCCACCCTGCCTGCCGACGGGAGGACGGGATCGCTGCAGCCGCCGCCACTGCCCGGCACCGGCGGCAGGCGCACCTCCATCGTCAACGACCTCAAACAGGGCTTCGCGCGCCGGCTCTCCGTGTTCGGCGCCACCGTCCACGACCAGAAGTAAGATATCCGCGAGTCGATAGAGATCTTATGTCATGATATCTTCATGATCATGAGCTGTGAGCACTGAACAACATTGCTTCTGCAATATTTTCAAACTGGGACATCGCGATGCATATGCCACCATGTTTGTGTAGCAGCTGGGGATGTGATGTGTCTCGGAGGAGTGGTATGAAGTGCCTCGGGTCTGATTTCCCACCCGGCTGTCTCCGACAGAGACCCACAGGACGAGGAGAGTGGAGGTCGCCGCGACTCCGTCTTCCTCCGGTCACCGTCCCCGCAGACGGACACACAGCTGCTGCGACACGCCATCCGAGAGAACCCCTTCAACAAGGTCGGTATCCACGGCGTTCTCAGAGAACGCAGCCGCTTGTAGATGTGAGATGTTGAGGATATAAAGACCAGGCAGTGTTACATGTAGAGTTTTGACTTAGTGCTATTAGTCGCTGACGATGTCCCCGCCGTTCCGCCAGCTGCACTTCCGCTACAACCCGAACCTGGTGGACGAAGAGGACCAGGAGGTGGAGACACACCTGCGGAGGCGCCGGCTCAACGCGCGCCGCATGTCGCAGATGGTGTTCCTGCCGCCGACGGCACAGACCATGCTGGCCGGGCTGGCCGAGCAGGGCGAGAGCTCGGTGCCCGGCTCCGAGTCGCTGTCGCGCGCCAGCAACCACCGGCAGTCGCTGCGCATCCGGCGCTCCCTGCGCGAGACGCCGCCCCTGCGCAGCCGCAGCAACTCCCTGCAGGTCAGGCCCGCGCTGCGGATAGCCGGAGAACCGGCATGTGCCTTGGTGCCTGATATTTGATTTTATATCACTGCTTCGGTCACAAACACGATGGATGAGACCTCTCTTTCAGTTATGTGAAAGTTGAAAATGATGCGTAGATACTTGTTGAAACTTCATAGGGTGGCACTGAAGAAGTTGATTGACGCGTGATCCGTGTTCTGTTTACAGCCGACATCACTTCAGCACGGCAACATTCCGTTCGTGTTCGGCCCCAAGATTACAAAGGTGAGGTGATCGCCATGCGACTTACCAACCGAGGTATTATTCGCCGATGCGTGTTTCGTTCAAACGGCTTGACACCTCTGAGAGCGTGCAGTACGAACGCCACACAGGTAAACATCCGACCGATCAAATGACTAATAGTGTCCAAGTTTTCCTTTTCCTGAGGACTAACATATGTGTCGGTCTGCCTGCAGGCACGCGGCACCGCCACGCCAGAGAGCGGCTCCACGGCCTCCCCGGAGCCGACGCGGCCCGTCGCGGGGGCCGGCGGCGGTCACGTCAACCCCACCTTCGTCATCACGGAGGAGTCGGACTTTGAGTCGGAGCCGGCCGGCCGGCAGTCGGGCACGGCGACGCCGCCGAGCCCGAGCCCTCCCGAGTCGGAGGGCTCCACGGCCCGCCGTTCCTCCCAGGAGTCGTGCAGCTCGCAGGCGACGCTGCCGGCCGCCACGGCGGAGGATGAGACGCCGAGCCGGGGCGGCCGGACTGGAGCCGGGCAGCGCGGGCCGCCGCCGGAGCCGGCCCTGCCGCTGGTCACCCTGCCGACCATCGCCGTCACAGACGATAACGACGACAACCCGACGACGCCGACCGACGACAGCGGCGTCACCATCAGCAGGCTCTGAGCGGGCAGCAACAGCAACAGCCCACAGCCCCTGAGGTGACCCATCAGCAGACTGTGGGGGCACCATCAGCAGACCGAGGTGACTCATCAGCAGGCTCTGAGCGGCAGCAACAGCAACAGCTCACAGCCCCTGAGGTGACTCATCAGCAGACTCTGAGCGGGCAGCAACAGCAACAGCCCACAGCCCCTGAGGTGACTCATCAGCAGACTCTGAGCGGGCAGCAACAGCAGACTCTGGGAGACACCAACAGTCAACTCTGAAATATTTAAACTCAGCAGCAGCCTTTGACGGTCGGAGCGAGACCATCAGAAAACCCTTTACCGTCGAAGAGTAAACATCAGCAAACTCCGAACGGTGGAAATCACAAAATAAGTGACTTCCAAGCCCGTATAGCGATAGAAGGAACTTGGCGTCACACCCGCTGAATGCTGATGGTAGACACAGCGGGATCAGAAGATACACACCAGGGTTGTGCTTGACTCATGAGTCGAGTCAGAGATTTGACTCAACTCTGACTCAGATGAGTCAGGTTTGAGTCGAGTCGGATAAAATGTTGAGCTGTTGAGTTGAGTCAGAGTTGAGTCAGACAAAAATATTAAGGTGTTGAGTTGAGTCAGAGTTGAGTCTGTAAAATAACTTTTGACATTAAGTTGAGTCAAAAACATTTAGGAACATTAATCAGCTGACTCATCTTTCTAGAAACAGTATATAAGCTATTCATTCTCCCCCGCTTAACAACTTAGGGCCTGGCCCTGCTGCCGGATTTTTTTTGCACCCCCCCCCCCCGCTCAACAACTTTTTTATCTGAGTCAATTTTGAGTCAACACACTTGACTCAACCAAAAAATTTGAGTCAAGTTTGAGTCAACTTATATTTTCATTGAGCCGCTTGAGTCATGAGTCGAGTCAAGGGAAAAAATCAGCTTGTTTGAGTCAGAGTTGAGTCAGGGCTTTCTGAAGTTGAATGATGAGTCGAGTCGGCAATTTTTTTTAGTCGAGCACAACCCTGATACACACATCAAACCGGCAACGACGCTTCCTCCCTGTCTGGTAGCGACGACTTCGGCCTTGGCAGCGGAGTACCTGCTGGAATCGGCAGATTTCAGCTGAAGGTCACCGACTAAGTGCTCTCAGTCTATTAGATAGTTTTATGAAGAACGTTTTATTCGTTGACATTTTCCGTCGATCAGCTTTCCTGTGAGTGTGAACGCTGATCAAGAAGATCTGTGACCAAAACATCGACTTATCTCATCATGCACCCACGTGGCATAATAGATACACGTTGGTAATTTCGTATGCGTGCTACTGTTCTGCTGTGTAATGAGTATATACATGCGGCGTGCCATGAAAGGACGAATGCAGTTTTGTTCCTTTTAATCATGAACACACTTATGGTACCTATAAACTGGAACCATCGAATGATCTATGAACCATGTTAATCGGACTTCAAAAGTGCCTTTCCCTGAACATGAATTGTTGTCATGTAGGTATGACTGGATCCGGATCCGTATTACCTACATGATAGCAATAGATGCGTTCGTTTATTCCTATGTGTGGTTCGTAAGTGCTCTTCCTCGTGATCGATCGTCGATAGCAGGAACCGTGTTGTCCGGTGTGTGTCGAAGTTGATATCAGTCCATGAGGCAGTTCCCAACTCGTTTAGAAGATCTGTGAAACACGTGTCAACGACTTATGGGCGGACATTCAGCGCCGAAGTGCCTGCAGGGAAACTTTATTTCCTCTTATGATTCCGTGTTGCAGTCGTTCTGATGGCAGGTGCCTGGTTATAGTGCAAGTAGCGGCAATAGTGTTATCATAGGTCGGTGACGTTAAGTGATGAATGTCTCCGACTGAACGACTGCTTAGTATGAGTTTGATGTCTATAAGTGGCAGGCGACGTTTCCCCGAGGTGCTCCCTGGTATGCAATATAAATAGATGATTTTATAGCGTGAGAGCGTGCCATATGACGCGCTTCATAGGTAGTGAATCCGTCTCCGATGAAGTGTCATCAGGTGCCTTCAAGTAAGACTGTTGTTTGTTACAGTTTTAAAGATATAAATATAAGGAATTTAAGAACCAAGTGTTATACTTCACGCTTAATTGTTTCCTAGCGTACAGCCCCTCTGAAATGTAACCGTGCACCGGTGCGGTGGATCCACCAAGCCCGACCGAGGAATGGCTCCTAAATTTGAGTCACCCAACTACCTAATTAACATCCTCATCCATCCTGCCCCGGTAAATTGGCTCGGTAACTCAAATTTAGCAGCCCTCCCTCGGTCGAACTTGATGAATCCGCCGCACCGATACCCGGTACTGGAGACTGCATTTAAGTTCATTCGGGGCATTAGGGACACCACAATCACGGTCAGATACGGTGACGTCAGCAGTAACACCTTTTCGTCTATTAATGCAGCCCAGGGTGAGCAGAAAACGTCGCCGACCTCTTCCCAGACTTCGATTCGGGCCAGGGTACTGGGTAGACGTAGTTACTATATACCATTGATTGGATAAATGGATAGTTTTCTTGTTGCCAGCAGTGTGTAGCATGATGTAGCAACAGACTCTGATACTGACGTAGATGACGCTCTAGAGGAGCTAGTGTTAGCTCATAGTCACGGGCTCAGGTGGCGCCATCTGTGGCGTGCATCAGCTCGCATTAGTCCCTCCGGCCCAGCCACCACTACATTCAGGCTTCTCAGTTGTAATCCTTCTCTACATTCGGACGTTTCGAAGGCTAACAAACACTGACTTCTGAAAGCAAGCTATATTTTCAAAGGACAACGGAATGGAACAGGCGAGTGAAGTGGAATTGAGATCGCAGCCGAATGGCACAAAAAGTATCTAGTACTCGTCTCCCTCGGCCTCGCCCTCGGCAGAGTCGATGCCGACCTCCTCGTAGTCCTTCTCGAGGGCAGCGAGATCCTCGCGGGCCTCGGAGAACTCGCCCTCCTCCATGCCCTCGCCGACGTACCAGTGCACGAAGGCGCGCTTGGCGTACATCAGGTCGAACTTGTGGTCCAGGCGCGCCCAGGCCTCGGCGATGGCAGTGGTGTTGGATAACATGCAGACGGCGCGCTGCACCTTGGCCAGGTCGCCGCCTGGCACCACGGTCGGCGGCTGGTAGTTGATGCCCACCTTGAAGCCGGTCGGACACCAGTCGACAAACTGGATGGTCCGCTTGGTCTTGATGGTGGCGATGGCGGCGTTGACGTCCTTGGGGACGACGTCACCGCGGTACAGCATGCAGCAGGCCATGTACTTGCCGTGGCGCGGGTCGCACTTGACCATCTGATTGGCCGGCTCGAAGCAGGCGTTGGTGATCTCTCCGACGGAGAGCTGCTCGTGGTAAGCCTTCTCGGCCGAGATGACCGGAGCGTAGGTGACCAGCGGGAAGTGGATGCGAGGGTAGGGCACCAGGTTGGTCTGGAACTCGGTCAGGTCCACGTTCAGGGCTCCGTCGAAGCGCAGCGAGGCCGTGATGGAGGAGACGATCTGGCCGATCAGACGGTTCAGGTTGGCGTAGGACGGACGCTCGATGTCCAGGTTGCGGCGGCAGATGTCGTAGATGGCCTCGTTGTCGACCATGAAGGCGCAGTCCGAGTGCTCCAGGGTGGTGTGGGTGGTCAGGATGGAGTTGTACGGCTCCACCACGGCCGTGGCTACCTGCGGCGCAGGGTAGATGGCGAACTCCAGCTTCGACTTCTTGCCGTAGTCGACGCTGAGACGCTCCATCAGCAGCGAGGTGAAGCCGGAGCCGGTGCCGCCGCCGAACGAGTGGAAGATCAGGAAGCCCTGCAGGCCGGTGCACTGGTCGGCCAGCTTCCTGATGCGGTCCAGCACGATGTCAACGATCTCCTTGCCGATGGTGTAGTGGCCGCGGGCGTAGTTGTTTGCGGCATCCTCCTTGCCGGAGATCATCTGCTCCGGGTGGAAGAGCTGGCGGTAGACGCCGGTGCGGATTTCGTCCACCACGGACGGCTCCAGGTCGACGAACACGGCGCGCGGCACGTGCTTGCCGGCGCCGGTCTCGGCGAAGAAGGTGCTGAAGCTGTCGTCAGAGGAGCCGAGCGACTTGTCCGAGGGGATGGTGCCATCCGGCTGGATGCCGTGCTCGAGGCAGTAGAGCTCCCAGCAGGCGTTACCCATCTGGCAGCCGGCCTGGCCGATGTGGATAGAGATGCACTCGCGCTGAAACGGAACGAAGACTTCAGATCGACGGAACTGGCGACCGGTGGCATGCCATGCAATTCCATTTTCAATTGGGGCTCATCAACACGCGCAGTGGAAGGGGAGAGGCGAATTTGGCAAATAACTCTCGACGCCGTAATCATTCCAATAACCCGCGCCGTGCTGGGGAGGCGCCGTCTTTAGCCCCCCCCCCCCCCTCAGTTTTCGCGAACATCTAAAAAACGAATAATTTTTGGTGCATCTGTTCATATTATATAAGAATTTCAGGCCCGGGCAGTTCAAGGTCAGGTCACCCCAGGTCACGTCAAGTGACCTTACCTCAGAAAAAGTTATAATGCTCGCTGTAGCAGAAGGATCGCTTTGAAACTTTCAGCGAATGATAAGAGTAACGGGATGTATAAAATGTAATTCTCAGAATTTCGATATCTGTGACCCAAGGTCAGGTCAATTTCGCGACCTCTCCATTAGGGATACCTAAGTCAATGGGAGAAAAGTGAACTGCGCCTCTTTTGGATGAGCGTCGTTCTTAACACTCTCAAACATCGGTGATCAGTTTATAGGTAGGTAAACATGACATTGAATCGGAAAATTGCACCCTCTTTGTGCCCTTGAGGTTATCCTCAGGTCATAGAAAAACACCAGCAGTTTTTTTACAATGACTTTTGATAGATATATGCTGAAGCGGTGAAAACACATCGTGTTCAGCTTGACGATACGGATCGACTGATATGCAACTTGACATTTTTCGGCCAGATCATGACCCTGGCCTGACCTGAGGTCAAATTTTCAAAATGACCCTTCACGGTCAAATT